TCATCCCTGCAGTTAGGGACACCTGTGCTCAATAGCTCATTGTAATGATTATACTGGATGCTTAGCTTCACATGAGTGTTTTTCAATGTCAGAGTCCCATTTAAGGAGCCATCTTATCCCCCTAGGAATCCTCTCCAAGTATGATATATAAATGTGAATGGGTTTGATCCATCTTCTGACAAGCCAGCTTGTGCAGAGGATTCTGCTTTCTATGAAACAGTCTCATTGAACCATCCTTCCCTGACACTCAATAATTATGGGTTCGAGACACTCTGCTTGGATAATGAGGGCACCATGGGCTGTGCTCTTTGTTCTATAAACATCAAAGTATGCTATGTTACAAAGGAAATTCTAATACAAATTTAAAGCCCTTAAGACCAGGATTCAAATGGTGGCATACTTTATTAAAACTCTTTTATTTACAGTTCTTATATCTCTTTTCCCCTACTCTACCCCAATCCCTTCCAACACCAGGTAGGAGAAAGGGTTAGTGGGAGAGGGGGCACAGTTCTTAGTTGCTTCCTGCTGGTTAGGGTCATGGGGTTCCTTGGAGCCAGTCCACAGCTTGTTTTAGGACATCTCCAACTTCTTGTCTCACTGCATCAACAGCAACAGAAGCTGCAGGGCGGGGAGATGGGTGGGTGGGGAGTAGCAGCAGTTTCGTTCTTTCTAGGAACCTTCACACTGTCTGGGCTCTGGCATGTATTCTCTTTCCGGAGTCCTCAGTTTAAACCATCTGCAGCTGGCAAAGAGCTCCTCTCAGAGCCCACACGAGGCAAATAATTTGCTGCTGTGGACCATCTGAATCCGTCCCACATCTCACGCCTTGGGTTAAAACAAAATAATGGTTATATCCACAACATCCAAATCAAGAATTAAATATTTACATCTCAGGCACTTTCCAATGAAAAGTGAGATCACAGAGACCATTACAGTTAGTGAGTGCTGGACACGCTCCAGATCTCTTGTTTGTGCTATGTGATTATGTAGTGAGGTTACTTTTCAAAGAACCCACAAGGCATCCAGTTGCTACAGCTCATGCAGAAATGAGTTAAAGTTCTTATAGCCTTCAGTAGTCCACGAAGCAGAAATATTATTAATGTTCATACCTTTGGTTGCACTGTTTAATCTCCTTAGAACGTACCTGCTTCAGCTTCTTTCCAGAAAGCTCTTTTACTTCAAGTCAACAGCAGCCCCATCCCCTTCCTCGCCAGTGTTTTCTTTGGCATTGTTTTGTTAGTTTGTGGAAACCCCATAAACCTGCTCCTTTTGCTTGTCTTTTTTTCTGGGAAGAGCCCTACTCGAGCCCAAATGACTATAATCTAAATGTGTTCAATCGTCTCATCCCAGATGGTAAACTCTTGTAGTGAATAATTATAACTATGCGTTTCCACATCATCAGCATGCTTGGTGTGATGCATAATCTTCGTTGACAACTTGATGATGGACTTCAGCATCTCCATGGGAACTCACATCTGGGTGTATCAGTAAGAGTGTTAAAAAGGCAAGGAAGACCCACCCTGGATGTCAGTGGCACGTCCCACAGGCTGTGGTCCCATACAGAATGAAGGGAGGAAGGGCTCGGAGATCCAGCGTTCGTCTCTCCTTGCTTCCTGACTATGGATGCAACGCACCAAGCCACTTCACATCCTCAGTGCTTGTCTTTCCCGTGTCATGGACCAAAGCTTACACTCTTTCTGGCAACTTCTTAAGTTGCATTTGCCAGGTACTTGATCATGAAAAAAAAAATAAAATAAACACACCTGAACTTGGCTCCACATCCCATGCTTGCTTCTCATAGTCCTAAAACTGACTTTAACATTTCATTTGTTTTATAACTATGCAAATTAGTTTGGGGTTCCAGAATAATTTTCATAAAGTGAGACATGTCCAAGGAAGTCTTGCTTCTGTCTTCTTTCTCTGCATGCATTCTCTCTCTCCTCTATGAACAGAACATGCTTTTGATTGACACATGCTACTTGCATGTATTTATGAGGCACAGTGCAATTTCTTGGCCCCCAACCCAGACTAATTAGCATATTGACCGATTTAAATGTTTATCATTTTTTTTTTAATTGAAGGGTGTCTTCACATCATTGTTTTGCTACAATTTCACATTTACTGTTGGCTTTGTTTGATAACTGTTTTTATAGCATGCACCTTTGGTTACACTTTGCTTTGGCTCACTTAATACACCACAGCAACGGCATCTTACTTTTTATTCTATAGTTGTGGCTTCAGATATTTCTAACTGTATTTCAGCTACACAATACTCAATCTCGTGCACATATTACAGTTCGCTTGGCTAGTCTTTTGCTGAAAAATATTTGGATTATTCAGGTTTTTGTTATAGAAATGATACTTTGTATTGGAACACAAGTTTTTGTGGGGGGCTGTGTTTTACTTTGTTTTGGTTTGGAGATTGCAAAGTATAAGCTCTGCATTACAGATCATTTAATTCTTTCAAATCCAGTTAATTTTAGTTTGTGTTCTGTCTTTAGCTGCACAGTATACTGACGTTCGTTCTGATTCTTGCAGACCCTAGAGCAGTGGCTCTCAGTCTTCCTACTGCTACGGCGCTTTAATACAGTTCCTCATGTTGTGCTGACCCCAACCGTAAAATTATTTTGTTACTGCTTAGTAACTGTAGTTTTGCTTCTTTTATGAATTGTAACTAAATATTTGTATTTTCTAATGGTCTTAGGTGATTCCTGTGAAAGGGTCATTCGGCTCTCAAGGGGATCAAGACCCATAGGCTGAGAGCCATTGTCCCAGAGTTTCTGATTTGAGGTTTTGCTCTATATTTATGTACTTATATATCACCATCAGCCTACTGATGAATCTCACCTTGTCTCCTGCCTTGTGGGTTAGATTCAGCTTTTTTAGTTTTTATCCTAAGCAAATAGCTTGTCTCCATTTTGTCCCTCATTCATGGCTTGCACTTCTGGCTTCCTCTCCAAACTCTGAGATTTCAGGTGTTCTCTAGAATGGAAAAGTAAGATTTGTCACCAGTAAAAATATTCTTTTGGGGGAATATTTACTATTTTTTATGTAAAGTGGAACTCGAAAGCTCAATTTCATGCCAGTAAATAAAATTACAAGCAAAAATACTATATACAAACTGAAGAAGACAAAGGTTTTGTTTTTCTGTCTTATTATTTCATTTTATTTTTATGTATAAGAGTGTTTTACCAGCCATTATGTACTATGTGCATGCCTAGTACCCACAGAGGCTAGAAGAAGGTGTTGGATTCCTTGCATTTGGAGTTACAGTCAACTGTAAGCCACCATGTGGTTGCTGGGAATCAAACCCGGCTCCTCTGGAAGAGCAGCCAATGCTTTTTAACCCTAAAGCCATCTCTCCAACCCCTGGACAGAGACTGGTAAGGGAACACATCAGGTACTTTACTGAGAAACTCCACTATGATGGAGACTCAACTGCAGAGTCTAACGCATGTCGGCTCGCGCGTTTTGCCTCATCACTTACAATGGAGTCTGTGTTAGAAGCTTCTTGAATGGATGTATGAAGAGATCGGGATCTGACAGAAGCAATGTCAACAGACTCATTTTTCAGCAGGTCCACATGTCTAAAGGTCACAGACACAACCGCCAGGAGCTCTGTGGGACTTTTGGACGTGGCCATGCAGCCTGCAGTTGACCAAGGTCTACAGCTGACCACATTTTGCTTGTATGTTTTTCTGACAGAATCTGCTCCCTCCTCTAGGTCGTGTTTTTGTTCTCCGAATGTGCTTGGATTTGAAAACTTTCTCTCAAAAGTAGAGGTGAGTCACAGATGAAGTCCTACTCCATTTCAAGCACATGTTAATCGGATACTGGAATATGCCTGCTATGTTATTTTTTAAATTAACATGTGAGGTTAGCACACAAGCTTGCAAGTTGCATCTTGGCATCTTTACACGTATGTGTCCACGCACTTTGTTCTCATACTGAAGCCCTGCTCTACGTGGAAGCAGAAATGGAACAGGCTTGCAGCATCTGGATCCCAGAGTTGTAGACGGTCTGGTGTGAGGGCTGAAGCACAAATTGTGTTGTTAACGCTCTTGCAATCATGTAGCCCTGCATGCATTGCTACCTTTCACAGCTTTTCTGTTTTCCTAAAATTGATTCATTGTGGTAGGTGGTTTGCCTATGAAATAGCAAGACGCCTGGGGACAAACCAGGCAATGATGAATGGAACCTGAAAAGCAAGAACATTTCCTTGTATGCTCTGTGGGGAAATTACACTTGCTCTCTGTGTGCATGCATGAGTGCGTGAGCGTGTATGCATGTACGTGTGTGTGTGTGTGTGTGTGTGTGTGTGTCTGTGTGTGTCTGTGTGTGTGTGTGTGTGTGCACGTTTGAATAAGTCAGAGGTCAGTCTCCTATGTCATTCAGCAGGGTCTGTCCACCTTAGTTCTTGAACAGAGTCTCTCCCTGGGATCTAGGTTTCATCAGTTAGGCTGACCTGGCTAGCTCAGGAGCCCACGGGGCTCACTTGTGCTGTCTCCCCAACACTGAGTTTATGAGAAGGTACCACCACTACGACTGGCTTTTTACATGGGTTCTGGTGATAGAACTCAGGTCCCCGTGCTTCTGCCACAAGCACTTTACTGACAGAACTACCTTCCAACCTCCCATACACACTTGTTTAAGAAGAGCAGACGCTATCTTAAAAGGGTAACAGCCACACTGAATTTTTATTGCAGAAAAATATAAAGTTTCATTTGGTACAGAAATATATTAGGTTATGGAAACTGCAAAGTCCAGTGGAGGGGGCAGGAGGAGAAGTAGCTGTCCAGCTGTCTGCTGGCCAAGCAAAATCTGTTTCCAAGCGACATCCAGATTTCAGACACCATCCATTGTCTGACTCCTCACTGGGCTTGCGAAGCAGAAGAGACTTTGGACTCAGGCAGCATCAAACTACTTGGTGTGTTTCGGGCCGAAACACATCCACAAAAGACTCGAATCTATAGAGAGGAAAGTGGATCCACTCGAGGTTCTCAGCAGCAGGGGGTGGCACAGCACATGGGGCGGGGGCAGGTGGAGATGACACAGGTGGGGCGGTAGCAGGTGCTCTGGCAGCAGACCTGACCACAGACTGGACGCAGGCAGCAGCTGGGGCGGCAGCAAGGGCGGCAGCAGCTGGGGCGGTAGCAGGGTTGGCAGCAGCTGGGGCGGCAGCAGCTGGAACCACCACAGGAAGGTTGACAGCAGCTGGGCCTGCAGCAGGTGGGGCGGCAGCAGGTGGGCTGGCAGCACACAGACTGGCAGCACTGGGGCCTGCAGCAGCTGGACACACAGCAGCTGGGCCTGCAGCAGCTGGGGCGGCAGCAGCTGGGCCTGCAGCAGCTGGGGCGGCAGCAGCTGGGCTGGCAGCACACAGACTGGCAGCACTGGGGCCTGCAGCAGCTGGACACACAACAGCTGGGGCGGCAGCAGGTGGTCCTGCAGCAGGTGGTCTGGAGGCAGCTGGGCTGGCAGCATCCTTGGCCACAGCCCTCCTCAGAGCAGACAGAGCCACAACAGGAGTTGACCATGGTGTCAGAGGTGGAGGTTCTGATGAGTACGGGAGTGAGTTTAAGGTGAATCTGAAAATCTCCCTGCTGCATGTCCCCTTTTATACTCTGCTAAGAATGCTGTGACCATGGCCTAGAAGATTTCCCACTTGTTTTCTTTTCCCTGAAGAAATAGTCATCATTAAGTCAGATTTTCCTTTTTAAATACTTGGAGATGAAGAAAATAAGATTTCTTTTTCCTTGTTCTAATTAAGATAATTTAATCTGGTCTTTGTCACAAAACTGCCTTCCCTGTTTCCTTGTTTGTCCACCCTGCTTCCTGGGTGGGTTCATCCCATGGATTCAGTCACTGAGGTATGTCCATGGTTTGTGTATCACTCATGATGCTCATTAAACCAATTTGTCTCATGATGTTCACATCCCTTTTGATGTCTAAAGAGAAGCATAATTATAGTAGGGAAATGGGGGGGGAGGCTTATCTTTGTGAGATAGCTCCATGTGAGCTATGAGGAAGGGAACCTTGTCTGCAAGTCATGCATGCTCATTAGGTGGTGGGCTGTCCAGACTTCTCCAAGGTATGCATCAGAAACAATACTTCCTTTACCCAGTTTCAAACTGTCACTGACGACTCACTGTTTTAAATACAAAAAGGCATTTTTGTGTCGCCTTGAAGGGACTCTCACTGGGCCCTGTATGGGAGCACTTGAACATCAAAATAAACAATGACAGCAATGGACTTCAACACACCAAGTAAATAATCATTCTACACCTTAGTATAGACTGATTAGAAAGAAGAGAAATAGAAGAGGAGGCAAGGAGGTCTCCACAACGGTGGAGTGATGATTAGTTAAATCATGGCTTTTGACCAGGAACATGATATTTGTACAATTCAAAGTATTTATCAATTATTTATGAATTTCAAAATGGGAAATTATTAACCTAATGTGAAAGCACTCCTAATCTAGGGATAAGATTAGTTTCGGGGCTGTGAAGATGGCCTGGTGGGTAAAAGCTTGCTTTGCTGCCATGAGGACCTGAGTTCAATGTCCAGAAGCTATAGCAAGCACGGTAGCCTGTGCTTTTGGCAGCTCAGCATTGGGGAGGCAGAGAAAGGTGGAACCGGTCCAGCCAGGGAATGATCTTCTCTGAAAAACAGAACGGTGGGCACTGCCTGAGGAATCACGTGTGAGGTTGTCCTCATTTCCACAAGCACGGGCGTACATCTCCATCTGCACAGGCGTGAATGCACACACGTGGGTGTGTAGACGTACACACACAACACAATAAATGCAGTCGCCCCCCCTGTTTACTATTCCTATAAAAGGCATAATTGACTGCAGCTATGGAGAAATGTAGGATAAACAGAGGCTGAGGAATTCTCCACACAATGCCTGGCCCACCCTCTTTGGCACGGTCAGAACTTCCTAATATAGTGACAGGCTGAAGAAACGTTTTAGATTTAAGGAAATCAAAGGGTATTTAAATGTAATGTATAGGAATGGATAGAAATTTCTCTTTAGGACAGTACTAACAATATTTGGATATGGAATGAACATTAGATAATTGTATTGTTTAAACATGATTTGATTTTTATTTTATCTTTGTTTTTATTAATTTGCAGTTTATTTACTTTGTATCCCCCCTGTAGCTCCCTCTCACCTCCCCTCCCAATCTTAATCCTCCCTCCCTCCCTCATCTTCACCCATTCCCTTCCCCAAGTCCACTGATAGGGAAGGTCCTCCTCTCCTTCCTTCTGATCCTAGTCTATTAGGTCTCATCAGGAGTGGCTTCATTGTCTTCCTCTGTGGCCTGGTAAGGCTGCTCACCCCTCAGGGAGAGGTGATCAAAGAGCAGGTCAATCAGTTCATGTCAGAGACAGTCTCTGTTCCCATTTCTATGGAACTCCCTCGGACACTGAACTGCCATGGGCTACGTCTGGGCAGGGGTTCTAGGTTATCTCCATGAATGGTCCTTGGTTGGAGTATCAGTCTCAGAAAAGACTCATGTCAGTTATATAAAATGTCCCTAGTTCATAGAATATATGGGGTCATAGTCCCTTAGAGTTGGTTCAGAACACACCCAGACACTAAATTCTCAGCACAAGGGAGATTTATTACTCTGAGGGGAAAGCAGGGCTTGGGGAGGGTGCTACCTCTGGTCAGACAAAGGTAGAGAGCAAGCAGGATCAGCAGCAATGGGTATTTAGTGGTTGTTTGTTTGTTTGTTTCAGGAGTGAGTTTTTAAGGAGAAAATGGGGGAGTCTGTTCTGGGGTGAGTTGGTAAGTACCAATTGGACGTGTTAGCCATTGTAGCCAAGTAATGAATTTTGATTGTTGGACTTTGTTTAGTCTCAAGAATGAGTCAATGGCCAAATAAAAGAATGGACCTGGGGGGCTAGTTTTAGGAATATAATCTAACAGGTTTTTTTTGTCTTGTTTTGTTTTTTTAGAAAGGAAAAGAAAAGGTCAAAACCTGCCGGTGCCATGTTTGCTGTGCTTTAGGCTGTTAGAGAGTGTTTCCTGCCCACCATTTTGTTTTATTATTGGGCCTCTGAGTGTTGAGGAAGTGGGCATCATTCCTTCTGGCTGCTTCCTGCTAATATTCCTGCACTGTTGTTGGGTCCCAAAAAAGCTGAAATCTTGTTGAAGTCAGGAAGAGTAGGCTGTGACAGTTGATGCCCAGGCTCTGTGGGACACCTTCAGGAATAAACAGATGGAAAGATTTAGGGTGTTGGTTGACGGGAGTACTTATCTGGAGCCCATTTAACTTGTGACAGAGAGATTTATGTTGATTTTCTGAAGTTTATAGCAATGTTTTCAGTTTATAAAAAGAGAAACAAGTTTTAGATATGTTAGTACTGAAATGTAGACTGTAGAAAGGGCAGTAAATTCATGTAGCATAGAGAGAGAAGAAATTTGAAACAACTTTTCACATGCCTTACATAACTTTCTCAGACTCATACATGAAATCACTTTCTCAGACCCTCACAATTTGCAGAAGCTCTTATATCCTCAGACCTTAAAACATTTTCTTGCATTTATAGACTTTTACAACTAAGTTTTTACGCCCCCAGTCCTTTGTAACTTGTACTTGCATACCTTAAAACATTTCTCTTGGACCCTTACAATTTCAGACTTTTATAATTCGGTGAGTGGGAAGAGGTAGGGCATAGTGGAGGTGGGGTTAGCTCACTGACATTCATTGTAGGTTTGGGTTCAGTTCTATAAAAAGTCTTATCTCTTGGGGTGAGAGTCCGGTGCATTTGGAGATGTTCTGGTCCAAGAATAGTTACACAAACCACTCAGACGCTGGTCACAGTTAAATATGGATGGTTTATTGAGTGCAACACCCCAAGACTGGTCAGACCAGGGACACAGAAAGGAACTGGGGAGCCTAACTGTGACATCAACCTGGCCTCCCAGCAGGATTTTTATAGAAAGAACCAGATGCAATAGACATGGGGAAGGCAGTAACACCTTTTGGCTAACCATACAAGGCAACATTATGTTTTTGGCTAACTAGACAAAGTATTATCAGCTAACCTTTAAGTTGATTGGTACTAAGTTCAGGAAGTGAGGCAGAGGTTAGGGTCTTCTCGAGTGCGTCCAAAGTGTAGCCAGGTGTGCACATAAGAAGGGTGAATGCAGCCAGGTGAAGAGATAATAAAGCATGAGTTATAACACTACTGAATCATAGTAAGAGTATAAGGTCAGCTCGACCCTCTGGCAGGGTCTGCTGGTGCCAGCTATGAATAACCTCTTCCAGAACCAGAGTTGAAAAGTTTAAATTTTGAACTTAATTTCACCTTAAAAATAAAACGGTAGGTGAAATGGCTGCAGTTATGTCTTAAAAGCAGACGTCAACATTCCAGGCTTCAATCGAGAAAGGATAGAAGGGATTTAGTATTATTTAGTTTTAGAGCAATATGTGATGTAAGTAGGGAATGATATCCTGTGTTGAAGGAGGATTAGTATGGTGCTATCTGGGTTATGTAGTACAGTAGCCTGGAGGGAAGTGGGGTGAGTCATAAGGGATGAAATGGCAGCTCAACGGGCTGTCGTGTTGGCAAAAGTATTGTATTTTGTTTTGTTTTGTTTTTGAAACAGGGTTTCTCTGTGTATCCTTGGCTGTCCTGGATTAGCTTTGTAGACCAGGCTGGTCTTGAACTCACTCACAGTGAACCACCTGCCTCTGCCTCCTGAGTGCTGGGATTGCAGGCGAGCGGCACCAAGCCCTGCTATGCGTATTGTCTTTACTGACAATGGAGGGATCAGTCTGATGTACCTTACAGTAAACCAAGCCAAACTGAGAGGGTGCAAGAGAGGCCTTGGGGATGTTATGAATATATGAAGAATTAGTAAATAAGTTATCTTTAGTGTTTCAAAATCCTTGATCCTTCTAGACAGCTGAGTGTGTTATAAAGATATGGAAAACACCATTAGTGATGCATTTTTAGTAAATTGGAAGGCCCTGGTGAAGGCTATTAATTGTGTCTGTTGATTGGTAGTGCGTGTGTGGGTAAGGAGACTGCCTTGATGAGGGCATCATCTGAAACCAGCAAGGAGCTGCTATCTGTATGAAAAGTATAGGCAGAAGTAGCTAAAGGACCCTCTTGTATGTGAGAGGGGTGGAGGAGGTGGTCTACTGGAGTCTCTGGACAGGAGTGAAGATGGTCTGGGGAATGTCCGGGTAAAGGGATAGGTGTGAAGGGATTGAGGGGGAGACAAGTAAGACACGTGAATGAGCTTTTGATAAGAGAAAAGGATTGGAGTTCTCAGTAAGTTAGGAGGAGAGGGAGAGACAGAGAGGGAGAGAGAGGAGGAAGTGGAATGTGAGCTGGGAAGCCTAGTGTTAATTTGTTAGATTTAGAGGTAAGCAGAAAGGCTGTGGCTAGACAGGGAAGTCAGCCACAGAAGGTGTTATCTAGAGTTTTGGAGAGGTAAATGACAGGAGCAGAGGTCAGTCCTAGAAAGTGTTCCAAGGCCTCAAGGGCACAACCTTGGGATTTTTGTTTGTTTTGTTTTGGAGTGTAAAGATGGAAAGGTCTTCATAGATTTAGGAGGCAAAAAGCTGAGGCTTAAAGAAGGGTGGGTTTGTTTTTGCTGCCTTTTCATTTAAAGAATTGTTTGCCAATGGGAAGAAGAGGCTTGGGAGGTCCAGAAGCAGCTTGGTACAGAGGATGTACTAGGGGTGGAGAGACGGCTCAGCCGTTAAAGGCCAGGCTCACAATCATGAGTGTATAAGAAGATGTGCTAGTGAATACCCAGGGAGTGGAGGAAATTAGCCATCCCCCAAGAGTAAAGCAGTTTGGATTTTGTTGAGGGCAGAGATAAGGAGCAGAGCCGAGCAAGGTGGTCTAAAGTGAGATATCGAAGGATTGGGGTGAGAGAGAATCCAAGATAAATAACTAGAGGAGGGTTGAGCTTTGGAAAGTGAGATCTGGTAACCTTTGGAGCCGAAGAAATTGAGAAGTGAAGCAGTGTCAGTTTGGCTATCAGAAAGGGGAGGACGGAGAAGGAGGGGGTCATTTACCTACTAAAGAAGGCAGAAGGGTAAAGAGGGAAGGCAGACCCGGTCCATAGTGAGTGCCAGGCTGAAAGATGGGGGTTGTCTCTGAATCCCTGGGGAAGGACAGTGCAGGTCAGTTGTGGGGATTGTTGAGTATGGGGTCTGCCCAATTGAAGGCAAAAAATAAAAAATAAAAAATAAAAAATCTTGAGACTGAACATCTAGGGGGGTTGTGGATATAAACATGTTTTTGTTTTAATCCCAGGTGCAGGATGTGGGACGGATTCAGATGGTCCACAGCTGCCAACTATTTGCCCGGTGATGGCTCTGAGAGGGGCTCTTTGCCAGCTGCAGATAGTTCAAATCTGAGGACTCTGGAGAGAAAATAAATGCCAGAGCCCAGAGAGGGTTGGAAAGCTCCGGGAAAGAACAAGGCTGCTGCTGCTCCCTCTTCCCCCCTCCCTGCTGCAGCTCCTGTTGCCCTTGATGCACTGAGACAAGAAGTTGGAGGTCTCCTGAAACAAGGACTGGCTCCAATGAACCCCACGACCCTAACCAGCAGGAAGCAACTGAGAGAACTGTGCCCCCTCTCCTACTAACCCTTTCTCCCTCCTACCTGGTGTTTGGGTGTTGGAAGGGATTGGGGTGGAGTAGGGAGAAAGAGATATAAAGAAATATAAATAAAAGAGTTTCTAAAAAGTGTTTAAATAAATATAAATAAAAAAGTTTCTAAAAATGCCAACATAGGGGCATTGAGAAAAAAAAAAACAACATATCTAAGCTTAGGGCTGAGAAGTGAGTGGCGTTTCTGGGGCTATCAAATAGGATAGTGTAAGGGCTGGGGACCACAGGGTGGAGAGGGACAATGACAGTGTTAATGGAGTAAAGGTCTTGGGCAAGGGGAAGATTTTGTTAGGGCATTTTCTTTTTGACTGACAATATGAGGAGGTGATTTTATAGGGTGAAGATGTGGGGCCTAGAAACCACTTGGATAAACTGGATTGGATGATTGAGGCCTGGCTAGGGGTCGGGAGTATAGGGATGTGAAGATGAAGGCAAAGGGGTCTTCAAATACAACAGGAAGTGTTTTGACGATATTCAGAAAGGGAAGGAGAGGCGGCTTTGGGATTTGGGAGAGCGAGCGAGGATACAGAAGAATTGAGGATGAAGAAAGAAAGAGCATTGTGAGGGTGCTTTCGGAGCTGTTAGGGTAGAGGGAAAAATTTTTTGTTAGTTCTGGAAAGAATAGCTTTTTTGAATAAGGGAACAGGATGTGAAGGTATGAGGAGAGAGGAATGAGAAAAGAAAAAGAGTTTGAAGGAGCAAGCTAAGGGTGGGGTTTGGAGGGGTCTGAGAGACTGGCTCTGAACTCTTCATGAGTGTTTGCCATTTTATATTAACCGGAACCATCTCAGAGCGGTGAGCTTGCCCTCCAGAGAACATAATTTTCCTATCAATGGACGGAAATGAAATTGAGGAGCTGAGGGCAAGAATGTGGGAGAGATCTGCTTTTAGAAAGCTGCGGTCTAATAACTCTGCTTCTCCACACCTGAAAAATGATCTTCACATTTTTCATGCCCTTAGAAACATCCACGCATCGCATTGGCATTTGTAAAAAGGATTTCTCTCCATCTTTTCGTAGAACTTCACTTATTTTGACGTCCGTGCAGGTGTGTTTGATAGTCAAAGAGACGACAGGATTGGAAGTGGTAGAGCAGACTCCTCCGAGGAGCCGGCTGAGTGAGGTTGTACTACTTGGTGTGCCTTCTCTTTGTTGGTTAAAGTATTCCTTCGCTCTTGGTCATCTTTTTATTCTTTGACGGTTTCATTCCTGTGTGTGGTGGGTTCTAGTCGCTCTCACTCCCTGTCACCCACGCTTGGTCATTCCCTCCTCAGGGGCAGACATTTTCTCCTGACTAGCCTCCTTCCCATGCTGTTGTCTGTGGCTGTGGCCTACTGAGTTTAAGCAGGCCTTTGTGCTGGAGCACAGGTAGGAGAGTATTTCTTAGATCCTGGGCAACTTGTCGGAGGCATCTCTCAGCTCTCATCAGAGAAGCTTCTTTTTGCAGTTGACCTGGGCACTTAATGCAGGCTCACAAACTGCTGGTTCTCCTCCTGCCTAGGGGTTGTCTCCCAGCAGTGCGGGAAGTCAGGAGGGGCAGGAGAGATACAGGGATCACACACCTCTGGAACAGCTGATGGCTAATTCAACTTTAATTCCAAAGAACAAAGGTTATATACCCCCTGGGGAGAGGGCGAGGGCCTCCAAGAATTGGTTGGAGCTAGGCACTTCAAAGATGCTTGCTTTGCATTGTATAGCAGGCTCCTATCATAAGAACAGAGGCACCGTACCTGAATAACATACAGGCACGGGGAGGAAAGGGCTAGCAGGGAGGCCATATATCAAATGTGGTTAGGGGAGTCTGTGTCTAAAGACACCATCCAGGTGAAGTCAGCAGAGAGCAGGGAAACCCACCTGAGGGGAGGGAGTCCTACCTTTAAGTCTGGGCTCACAATGGCTCACAAATGACACACAAAAACACATACACAAACACACATGCGCACATACACATGCACACGCTGCTCAGGAAACATCACGAAAAAGACAGTGGGAGGACGGCACAAGCCAGTGTCTCCTGGACATAACAGGTGGATGCACTCACAAACTCACCGAGACCGACTGTAGCTACCTCCCTTTTGCACATTTTTGACTCAGCAAGTTGCAATTTTCTGAAGTCCTGAGAGCAAGGTCAGGAAAGTTTGGAGTAGTTGCGCTTTGCACATGATGTCCCTTAGCTGAAGGCAATTGTTACAAAGCAACAGACACAAGAAAATTGTGTTTCTATTCCAATTGAAGGAGTTTTATTCAGAAGTAGCAGCAACAAGGTAGAGAAATGTCACAGTTCAAGGGAAAACAAGGCGGCATCGTGAGACTTCCGGCTCTAAAGGTTTGATCTGACTCTGCAGATCATTCCACATTTGAGTCTAGAAGATATGCACTCTTATTAATTTCCTTTTAAAATTTTATATCATTATTTGATTATTTCATAATGCATACAGTGTATTTTGATCACATAAATACCCTGACTTCCCCTCGTAACTCCTTCAGGATCCACTCCCATGCCCAACCCCCATCTTAACTCCTTAACTTCCAATTCTATATTTTGTCCTGAAACAACAAAGAAGTCACCACAAGTAGTTTTCCTGAGTCTGGGATCTAGACACACAATTGACAGGAGAGGCCTCTCTCAGGATGGTCATGAGGTACCCAAGGATTATCTTCATAACAGAGGAGGTGGGAAAAAGTGGGCGTGTTCAGGAAAGGTCTCAGCAGCAGGGGGTGGCACAGCACATGGGGCGGGGGCAGGTGGAGATGACACAGGTGGGGCGGTAGCAGGTGCTCTGGCAGCAGACCTGACCACAGACTGGACGCAGGCAGCAGC